TTTTTTTTCTAATTTCATCCCATCATTCCTATTTATACCCCCGTGTACCAACCTAAATAACTCCTGCCACCATTCCTTTGTGTTTATACCCTTCAAATACTTGGTAGACTGTTATGGCCCTCCCCACCCTCTAGTCATGTACAAATTTAGCTCTTTTAAATCTCTTTCCCTGTAAGTCTAGCCTTCCAGCCCCCTCCCATTTCTGATTCTCTTCTCTCTCTTCCCTCCAATTAATAGTTGTCTGGTCCTGAAGGGTTAAGAACTGAATGATCTCAGGGAGAATAACTGGATATTTAGAATTTGCAGGAAATTCTTTACACATCACTAATGAGGCCAAAGCTTTCATCGGCTAGTGTCCCACACTCTTTCAAATGCACTGTGTTTAATGGTCTGTTAATAAATACGACTGTCCTTCTTTCCTGAGTTCTGCTGATTGTATAGTAGAAGGAAATGCCAGCCCCCATGATGAATTTGACAGACTCACCCACTACCCTGGAATTGTAGTAATCTGGCAGCATCCGCTCACACAAGGCCACTAGGAGCCAGAAAGCCTCTTCCTCATTGCAGTACAGCAACAGTACTGATGTCACAATGTTCATGGCCTGGGAGCAGGTAGAGCGACACAAACATGCATGGAGAAGAAAATACCACATTAGCTGAGGATGTTCAGGAAGGTAATGGGACACTATAAATGTGAGATAAATGTGGTTAAAATACTATGCTCCTATGGATAAGGTAGGGGACTGGGAGTCAGAAGATCTATGTTCTGTTTCCAGCTAACCACTCTAGGCCTCAGGTCCTGCAGCTGTGAAATGGGGATAACTCCACGCATCCTTGTAAAGCACTTTGATCCATGGAGCAAAGTATTAGTATTATTTAACCAGGTTACTAAAACCTTGAAAATGGTATTTATACGGAAAATGCTGAGACAGTTTTTAATAGAGCAGTGTGAAGGGGGCTGTAAATATCCAAAGGATACCCAAAACTATTCAGTTTCTACATACTCTGGATATCCTATATCAGTTTACAAATTAATGAGTTTGATGCAGGCTGTGCACGGTCAATACAGCTGTCTTCATAATCTCAGCCAGTTCTCATGCACTACTTAGGAAACTAGAAGGTGCTTTTACTAAGCAAGGGAAAGTTAGCCAGGACACTGGGGCTCTCCCCAATCTAATAAAATATTCTGTGGCTCACAGTCACTAGAGATAGGCAGAACAAACTGATTTAACATCACATCCAAAGGACAGTTACAGTTTTACAACACAGCAGCCCCTGCCTTATTGCTAGAGTACAAGGGCATCATCAAGGAGGATCCCAAATTCAAGTATGAAACTTCTTTAAAATGGGGGTTTGGCTTTCAGTAATGTCCAAAGCGTGAGGTGGCTAATTTATACTCCCCTCTTACCTGACAGTACCCGATTGTGGGGTTTCGGAATGCGTAAGCTGTCAGGACCCTCCGAAGGGCAGCGATCCCCAAGTCATTCTGAAAGGCAGGGTGCTCTGGCATGGAACGGTGCAGGTCTCGCTCAATTTCCTCTGTGGCAAGGCTGTATTTCCCCATTGACTTTTCCACCAGCTCTGCATAGTACCCAGGAAGCATCACCATCTCATTCCAGGCCCCTACAATGACAAAGGCACTGCTTCATTCCCTTGTTCCCAAAGTTTCAGTGAAGGGGCAGATAGGGGACGGTATACAGACTCAAATGAATACAAGCAGATCTCAAGGTTCAGAAACAAATCTGCAGTTAGATCAGATAATTCCCCAGCTTCTGAATGTCACAATCCTGACGAAGAAGACTATGTAGCACCTGGGAGAAGAGGGAATTTAGAATAACCTGTCACTGTACTGTCATGCAGCCCAAGCAGGCAACAGATCATAATCTCTTCAGAAAGCACCTGCTGGCATATTGCATACAGATTGAGAGAGAAATTGGGTCTCTTTAAAGCTTCATGCAGATGGAGTACACCTGGGAGTAAATGATTAATTTAGAAATAAATGTGATCCATTTAGATATGAACATTTAACTCTCCCAATCTCGGAAATTTGCAGAAGGCCTGATATTTGTTAACTGCAGAAGGGCTACCCGTTACCTGGGAACTGTCTTGAGTGTACAGTAGAGCCTTTTACCTGAGAACAAGAGCCACATCTCTCCACGAAGATTCTCTGGGATCCCTTTTAGTACCAGTTCGCGGGTCTTGGCTGTGCGATACATACACATTCCTCGCCCATACTCAAAGAAATGAATATTCCACGACTCTTCCTTCATCTTCTCCTTTGCCTAAGAGGGAAAAACAAACAGTGCCATTTGGATGGACTAAAGCATTTCCATCAAGTTCACCTATAGAATGGGAGGTTTCTACTCAAGCCTGTACTTGACAAAGGAAATACAGTGCCACATTTAAACTGTTCCTTCTTTCTTATTCTATGATGTGCTACATTCACTATGTACATAATTTATGAACAATTGATCATCTGTATCAAGTTTCTAAGTATTCACTGCCAAAATGTGCAAGCAAGTAGGTTGAAACGTGACACTGACACAGCTTTTACTTGAATAAAAAGAGGCGCTAGTTGAGGATGTGATGGATGGCACTGCAGACATGACACATCACCCTTCATCTCAAAGATCTGATTTTAAATAGATCACAAGTGAAATGAGTTTGGTGGCCTCAATCAACATTTTTTGTCTCATCTACAACACAAATGTAACCAAGTCAGGACGTTCTCTTACTACATGGTTAAAATTACCACGTCCCCGTACCCAGGCTAAAGCTCTCGGAAATCTCAAGTGAGAGCGAAACTGACTCAATGGGTACTTGTCAATATCACAAAAGCACAAGAATTTAGCACAATTGGCAGTCTTCACTCAAGTAGCCCACGACTGGAAAAATCAAGATAGTGCTTGGGTTACAGATAAGATGCATTTCCAGAGCTGTATGGGAGCCTATCAATGGAACTGCAGCTGGTGACACAGGTCACTGGACAGATGCACTGATGGAGCTTTGGAGTATAGAATGAAGAACGACGAAGCTTTCACTGTGCCTGCCTGTTCTAGTCAGCACTTAACTTTAACAGCAAACTCACTGCAATAGTTGTTTTACATTATATGTAAGCGACTTGCATACCGCTTTGGGTCCTAAGAGCTCGTCGGAGTCTCTCCTGAAGAGTTTGAGAAGCCCCTGGGAGGCTGTTGGCACCTCCCCTGTACAGAAGCTGACCAACTGGTTGTTGAGAGTAGAGGTTGGGCTGACTGCAGGTGGACTAATGGAAGAGAGCTCTGGAAACTCCTGAAGAACAAAAATATATAATCTGAAAAAAAGCATAAGCAGCTTCTACTGTTTATTTTGCAAGCACATTTTGTGTGGTCAAATACTACACTGAAGACCTCTCTACAAAACACGCTGACTTCTCCCTGCTGCCCAACCAGTACACCTCAACCCTGCCCTTGCAGGACTGCTGCCTAGAGTAAAAGGGAGCTCAGGCTCCAAGCCCATTGTATATTTCCCCTTTCTACCCAGACTAACAAAGGTGCCAGCTGTGATGTGGAGACCTGCCAACAAAGATTAGATGGAGATGGCCAACAGGCTACCGAACAGTAGCAATGCCACTTCTGTCCACTAACCTAAAAGTGGAAACTTCTGTATCTCATTACCAGTCCCCAGAGCTATCCATTACTTAGCTTTAAGAACTATTCTAAGATCTTCACCCATAATCCATGAATGTATTAAGATTTATTGTCTCATGCATCCTTAGGAGACCTATTGGGCCACATCCTCTGCTGTAACAACGAGGAGTCCGGTGGCACCTTAAAGACTAACAGATCGGTTAGTCTTTAAGGTGCCACCGGACTCCTCGTTGTTTTTGTGGATACAGACTAACACGGCTACCCCTCTGATCCTCTGCTGTGTCCAGATCTCACTGACTGTAACAAGTAGGAGTCACTAGAGGCTGCTCCAAACTGTGCCAGCTGGGGATTACCAGAGCATATTGAGCTCTGGCCACTTCCCCTGCTCACCCTGACATGTCCCCCACACCAGGGGTTGTGGAAAGGGAAGCTTTACACTTCCTGGGGATTGTCCCATGCTGAGGGTATCCCCGGCACGGGATTTAGGAGGAGGTTTCTGCTCCCTTTACACTGATTGACTGTGCAGAAGGGCACAGCGGACCAGAGAATCTAGTCTAATATTTCAGCCTCTCTCTCTCTTCCCCTGCCTTTCAAAGCAATAGATGCTGCCTACTTCCTTTCCCCTTGCCAACAGCACTCCCCCAGCATAAACACCATTTTCTCTGTGATGCTCAGGCTCACAGGAACTAGCTTTCTTTATCTTGAGAAATTATAATTCAACTCTAACCAATGAAATGGGTAACTTCCCTAATCTGCAGAGAATGGTGACGCAAATGAGAAATTGATGTAAATAGGTCTTATTCCTAGTGTTCCTCATTATAAAGACCAAGAAATGTCTGAGCTTAGTCAGCCTCCAGCTTTCAGAGTAGGAGTCTGATAGGAAGATGCCATTTGCTGGAGTAGACAATGCAACAAACGTCTCTTTGGAAAGGTGGAAAGCCCCCTCCAGAACCGTGCCCTAGTACCTCACATCCAGTGTCACTGAAGCTCCCCTTCCACTTTCTGCCAGAGCCATCCGATTTCTTTGATGGTGTTCTCTGCAAGAAGTCAGAGATTCTCTGTACCAGGAAATCTCGGTCCTTCAGGTTGGCGAAGAGGAAGGTCATTTTACTTTTGGTGCTGATGGAGAGAGGGCGGGGCAAGACACTGGAGCTGTCTGCTTTCTCAACAACTGCCACCTGGAAAAGACAGTCACAGGCAATTTGGATATAGCAGGACTCCATCATTTCCATTTGATCATTAAAAGGGACTCCGAGATGCATGTCCAAATTTAACTTGCTATAAAACATTTATAACCTGGATTGTCCTCCAGGTATTAATTTTTGCCAACACATCAACTCCATCAGCAAGACATGTAACAAGACACATGCAAGCTGGTCTCAGCCAGCAGCCTCTGCTGTAGCTGATGTGGTTTTTACAGGAATGATAGTGATGGCTGATGTGGAAAGAAGGGGGAGAAAACTGATGGAGTACCCCCACAAAGGAGAGTTTACTTTGCTTTTTAAACACCTGCTTCCTCATGCCTGCCATGTGCTCTGGTTTATACAGAAAGATCGGAGGGCTTTCCTCAGTTTCCTCAGCTGAAGGACAGACTTTTCACTGCCCCCTATCAAGATGCTGAGTCCCCTTTTAAATTGAAAGAATAAAAACATACGCAGTGTGAATAAGATTTTGCCTTTTTTCCTATTTACAAAATGGAGTGTATAAACAAAGTAAGAAAATACAAGAGCTTGTTTAAAAAAATGCTACTTTTCTAGAATAGGAGAGAAAATGCCAAGACAGAAAAGTGTGCTCACCTGCACTGTGCACAAACAGCTGTGCCTGATTCCCTAACAGTAGCCCTATCTCCACTACTACAGAACAGAGCAAGACACCCTGAAAGCTTTTTTTTTTTAATAAGAGCTACACAAAAAATTGTGTTGTTGTTGTTGTTTCCCCTTCCTTCTGGTACAGGTAGTTAACAAGTGCTATTGAAGGAGCTGTGCGGATTTCATTAATGATGGCACACAAGCAAAATGCATTTCAGCTTAATTAAAAATAGAAGAAAAAATCTGTTTGCCAAAAGGGAACCGAGAAGGTAGCACAGGGGAAAATGCTACTTTCAAGCTGCTAAGAGGTCTTTCTATTACAAACAGGAGAGGAAAAACAAAATCTAAAATGTAAAAAAAAACAAAAAACAAAATCAAAGCACCAGAAAGCCAACAGTCACAGTGTCCTTTGAACAGACTTTGTTAAACACTGAAAGTTTGACTTGTCTCTGGATACTTCCAGAATTGGATAAGAAACAAACTTACTAGTCAGTAGTCTCATGGTTACTGAAGAAAACATTTGTCTGTGTTCTCTACCTTTGCTTCCTTCCCTGTTACTCGGGTTTTGGAGACAGATTTCTCTTTCAATAGGAACTGATCTCAGTCTTTTGCTAGAATCATTGCCCATTACAAAAGAATCCCCCAGTACCTAAATAAACTGTCATTTCTTGTGAAACCGTTTGGGAATCATTAGGTAAGGGATAGATAAGACAGAAAACATCATATTGCCTCTCTAAATCCATGGTATGCCCACATCTTGAATACTGTGTGCAGATCTGGTCACCCCATCTCAAAAAAGATATACTGGAATTGGAAAAGGTACAGAAAAGGGCAACAAAAATTATTAGGGTTATGGAACAGCTTCCATATGAGGAGATTAATAAGAATGGGACTTTTCAGCTTGGAAAAGAGACGACTAAGGTGGGGGGAGTATGATAGAGGTCTATAAAATCATGACTGGTATGGAGAAAGTAAATAAGGAAGTGTTATTTACTCCTCATAACACAAGAACCAGGGGTCACCAAATTAAATTTATAGGCAGCAGGTTTAAAACAAACAAAATGAAGTATTTCTTCACAAGTCTCTCGCAGTCGACCTGTGGAACTCTTTGCCAGAGGATGTTGTGAAGGCCAAGACTATAATAGGGTTCAAAAAAGAACTAGTTAAATTCATGGAGGATAGGTTCATCAATGGCTATGAGCCAAGATGAACAGGGATGCAAAACCATGCTCTGAAGTGTCCTTAGCCTCTGTTTGCCAGACGCTGGGAATGAGTGACAGAGGATGGATCACTTGATGATTACTTCTTCTGTTCATTCCTTCTGAAGCACCTGTCATTGGCCACTGTCGGAAGACAGGATACTGGGCTAGATGGACTATTGGTCTGACCCAGTATGGCTGTTCTTATGTTCTTAGCCTACGGATTAACCTACTGTGGTCAAGAGTCAGGATTCACAACCTGTAAGCACCAGAAACACCCAAAAGCTAAAGACCAAAAGCTTGTAGTCCTGATGCATAAGTGGCTTTTCATTCTAACAGGTTCCCACCTCCCTGAGTGGAATGATGAGGTGACAGGCCTCCTCTGCCTTGCTGGCAAAACAGATATAATTGTTGGAAACAAACATCTGGCCAGGGATGTGCATCTTGTTAAATGGAGTCCACAAGGTGCAGTCTGTATGTCCATCCAGGCGTTCATCCTTGGGCAGCCGGAAGGTGGCACGGTACCAATCATTTTTGGCTCGAGCATCCAGATCTCTGGGGGAGGGGAAAAAAAAGAGAGAAGGGTAATCCCCACACTGGGAGGCATGAATGGCCTCACCCTCCATCCTCAAAATCCTAAGAAGGAAACACCACAACCAAAGGTTCATTCCAGTCACAGCGTGCAGGAGTGCCTCTTATCTTCTCACTGTTCACTTCTCAAACTGAGATATACCACAACACCCACACATTCTCTGGAGCACAAGTACTTAAAAGATAAAACAAGGTTTCTCTCAGGTGCATCTCATAAACATAAAATATACCTTACTCTCGTAGATAAATACTTTGAGGGAAATCATCACAAGGTTGAAACAGATGGATTTAAACGACTGTGCAACCTTCCATCCCAAAACAGTGGTACTATTAAAATTTGTACAATACTTTGAAGATGTAAAATGCTATAAGCGTACCATGATTTTTTAAAAGACCCTCACCTTTTAAAAAAAGGAGATCAAAGCAGAGGATTGGGGGGAAATATAGGGATCCTGAAAGCATGCTTCTAAATAGTTGCATTTGGGGAAGGCATGCATTACTGTACCAAAGCAGAAGGCATTGTAGATTAAGTCATCTCCAATAGAAGCAAATTCTGCTTACATGATTATTTTCAGATAGGGATCATTGAAAGTTCAGTCTATGCCTTCATGCACAGGGGGAAAACTGAACTTGTCTAAAAAATAGATGAATTGTACTCAGGACAAAAATGAGCATAGCTACAAGGGGGGAATGTCAGAGATTATGTAGCACCTAAAGTAATCAAGCCTTGATTCAGATTTGGGCCTCAGGTGCTAATCAATATCACCAAATAATGTACACCCATTCTTTGACTCTCCTGCTCCCACCTTCCCCGTCCCCATTTCCACTGCTGGAAGAGACACACACCTTTTGAGTGCAGAGATGTTCTTTAGAGGCTTGCTGGGCTTGGGAAGGGACTTGTCCTCCAGGAAGCCCTCGTTGTCCAATAGCTGTCGCATGGCGATATTAGCCAGCTGTTCCATCAGTTTGAAGGTCTCATTGATGTTGAGGAACATGGAGAAGTAAAGCTCGCTATCCCTGGTACTCACTTTAATGCACTCAGGGAACAGCAGTGTGGCGTTTTTTTCCAGCTGTGTCACGTCCACCCACTGGACTACCAGGGTCACTAAGGAAGCACCCAAAGTAAACCCACCAGTTACAACGTGATGCAAAACACACACAGCCAGTAGGAGAGAAGTCAAAGTAGCAAGCAAGACTTGCTATTTCTTTTCCCATTCTTGGGCAATTTTTTTTTTCTTCCTAAGTGCTTCACCATAAAGGAAGCACCGTCTGAGAATAACTGGCCTATGAAACAATACTGGATCCCACCTGAATGTTGCTGAATCAGCGCATACTCCTAATTATATCTTCTCAGGTTTTCATATCTCATCCATAGCAGATAACTACGGGCAACAGAGTAACTCCTGAGGCAAATGCCATCAGGATCTGAAAACTCCAATAAAGAACCCCAAACAGGACTACATTAATGAGAACTAGGAACCTTTTAGTTTTCGCTCGCAGTGTCCACATGGGGGAGTTACAGTGCAGCACTTGTATGTGCACTGTTCACACCCCCATATTCTGAACTGCAGGGCAATTCAGACATAGCCACAGGCTTCTAGATCACTTTAGGTGCTTTTGAGAATTCTACCCATAAAGTCATGAGAAAGCTAGATGACAAGTGTAAGTGGGACCTGAAGGCTGTGTGCTGGGGCTAAAAGAGGATTTCCATGGGGAAAAAAAAAATTAAAACAGCCAAAAAAGCCCACACCAATGATCAACTATATCAAGGGGGAAGTGGCAGACAAGAGCACACAGCAAGCTGATAACTTACCTTCTTTGCCCAGCAGGAAGGAGTAGAAACAGAGGTGATTGACAGTCAGATACAGCCAGCCCTGCCTTGGAACACGCCCTTTCCAATAGCTGCAAGAATAGTAATTGACTAGCTTCTCCACCTCAGGCATTCCAAACTGTTTCCGCATCTTGAGTTCAGCCTCCTTAAATTTACCTGGATCCTCTTCACCCTGGGGCTGCTGATTCTTGTTCTCTTCAGCAATAATGCCCTGAAGGGAGAGGAGAGGATGATGGAAAGTGGAAAAATCAATGCTGCCTTCACTTACAGTGTTAAAGTAGCACAATCTCAGAGATAGAGAGGAAGAACATGGCAAGGGAATCCACACCAGATCCAGGCTAAAGGCAAAACAGAGACGGTTAATAAGAACAACAAACCAGACAGCTTGGAATCCTGTTAAAGGTGAACCTATGCCTGAACACACACTTAAAGCTAGTGTCCATAAATAACATTTCAGTGTCCTTCTCCTGACTGGCCTGGTAACTCAGAGTTAGCACTCTATACTGCCATGCAGGAGACCTGAGGTCAATTCCTGGTACTGCTGAAGAGTGAGCATGCTCCCCAGAGGGCTTGGAGTTCCGCAGACAGCACCAATGGGCACTAAAGACAGCTCTGTCCTAATGTGTTTAACCAGAAGGAAAGGACTGACAGTAACCCAAGAGTTGTGGGAAACAGGCAAGGAACCTGACAGAGATACAAAGGAGTCTCAAGAAAAACAATTTTTCACAGTCACAACTAACAATGATGTCTTACTGTTTTGTTTTCTAGATTACAGTAACAAGTCACTCCTACTTTATGGAGATTTTTATCTCCCCTTTCAATACCATCTAAAAAAAACCTACCATTGACTTACAGTGACACTGTGGGTCTGATTTTCAGAGACAACAAGCAACTACAACTTACATAACTTCAATGGGAATTGCATGTCCTAAGGACCTCAGAAAAATAGACCCTATCAGCCTTGATAGGTTAAAATAGAAAGAGTTCTCCTTGACAATGGTCCACAACTTGCACTTCCTACCCTGAAAATAAAGTATTTCCCCCCCTTTAAAAAATTCAAATTCAACAGCTAAGATGCTGAAAAAGAAGCTGCCTCTGTGTTACCAATATCCAGGAACATACACCAATTTGTGACTCAAAAATGTGTGCTATTATCATATTTCTATTAGAAGGATTTTTTGGGAACATTCACAGATCTATTTTAAGGATAGGATGACTTTAAAAATAGATCAGTTTCTTAGCTTATCAGTGCGTACAGTATCCTTTTCAGCAAGCACAGATGCCCTTCTCTGTTAGAGTCAGCAGCCTTGATGGCAGAGCCACTGCCTGGGTAGTGCTACTGTTTCCAAGTTGCCCACTTTAGTTATTTCTTGCTCTTATCACCTCCATCTCTCTAGAGGATGGATCATCACATTAGCTCCTAGCATCATTCTCAAATCTACAGTCTAGTTTATAAACAGCTTGATTTTCAATTTTTAGAAATATGGACACAATTGTATCTATGGCTGCACTATGCCTCCATCTACCGAACCAAAGTATGGATAACATATTCCACCCTAGACTTCAGGCAAAGGCCAAAATAAGTCAGGGGAGCTTTGCACTGCTTCCAAAGCTTAACTTTGGGCACTACCAAGACAGCAAAATCCAGAGTTAAAGGCCCTTCACCAAAAATGCCAGCAACCCATTTGGATCTAGGGACTGACAGTGAAGGTACATCAGCCAAGTTCAACTGTTGCTATAAAACACAAGAGAAGAGGAAGTCTCAGAAGATGAGGACCCAGATCATCTAGGGAATTAATAATCTATATCAACATGCTGAGACAAAAGCACTGTTTCTGACATTCTCAGGCTGTCTTTACTACTATAATATTCCTAGTGAGAAACTGTCAAGCATTCAGAGACCTGATCCATCCACCTCCTTCACGGTCTCTATTAATTGGGCAACAGCTGACTCTACCCTCATCACACCAGGGGGGCAAGATTACTTACTCAGTGTCCCCCCCAAAAAATCAAAGGCCCCACCCACTTACAGTTCAGACTGATTCTTTCTTAGTTAACCCCTCAACCAGCAGAGATGCTAGTGTTTGTTTGAAACAGAGCACCGTGGGAATTAGGATACAGTCACCTTACACCAGAGACAGATTCTGGATAGTCCTAGCAGGGGAAAGTGCATTGTTTACAGGCTAGAATTATCTGGTGACAAACATGGGGGAGGCCAGACAGTGAAATGTGGTCCTCTTGCAATGTGCCAAAGATACAGCTCATTGGGATATTGTCAGACGGGCAGCAGGTTTTAGTGAGTTACTGCACCAGAAGAATTCTCAAAGGCAGGTTGCTCCTTGAGATCTGCTCTTGTCACATGATTTCTACTGCAGTATGTATTAATCCTGAGCTATTGCAGCAATAACATAGCACTGATAAAATAGTATAAGTTATATGAAGATCTGAAGCATACCTATGTCCAGAGAAGGGTGAAGATGGAAATATCTATAGGGAATTTTTTTTCCCCTCCAAAAGGTAAAAAAATCTCACCACCACCTCCCCATGACCTGCAGGGAAATACGTGCCCCTTACATGTATCTTGCCCTTGACAAAAGTGGTGATGTCGTCCTCATTATCAAAGATGGAGAGAGTCTGCAGCAAGTTATTCTCTAGCCATTCCCAATGCTTTGTGATCTCCTTACGAGAAGAGCCTAACAGGGGGACAAACAGGAAATAGTCAGAACACCATTCTTCTTGCAAGTTCACAGTAGAAAATCAATAAAAGCATCACCGCAGATAACAGTGGGCAGGGCACCTGTAACCAGGCAACTACACCCATGCTATGGAGTCATTTAAAAAAAAAAATATATTGAAAGTCAAACTGTTGTTGCCACTGCCAGGTCCTCCTAGTGGCGACAAGCAGCACTTTCTATTGACAGCCACACACACTATAGGTCAGCCTGCCTGCAAGTGTACAACAAGTCCTATTTTCCCCCAAATCACACAGCTTGGAAAGGTTTTCTTAATTCTTAATTAGTATTTTACACCCTACAGAATATTAGGAAAACTTTATACAAACTAATTTCAGAAAAATAGGACTTGCTGGATCCCTGCAGTTTGACGCTATTCTCCAATGCTGTGCATGACTGCCAGGAGAGAGCAGATGGACCTGAAATAAGCAAACAAGGCAAACGTGAAACATTCACATTTGCAATGCTGCTGTGCTGTTTATTTGGGATGTTTGGCACAATTTATTTCTTTCAAAAGAAGCTTGTTTGTCAATCACTTTAATGCTACATCAGCAAGTTTCAAGTTTTAAAATCCTCTTTCATGCTGGAGCAAATTAGGAGGAGGGGACATTTCTATAGAAAGGGTAGCTGGCCTGTGGTTTTGTTCCTTTAGCTATTTATTTCAGAAATTTACATTTTAGTAAGAGATTTCTTCCTTTCCACCCAGGCTCAACTTTGCATTCAAGTCAGAACCATGGAGTAATGGAAATGGTTATATCAGGTATTCATTGTTATAACTTCAGAGCAGTATGAAAGCACAGAAGATAGACGGAAGCCTTCACAGAAAAACTAAGAACTTTGGTAGTTAGCAGATAAAGTAAGAAATATAATGAAATGCAAGTGAAAGATGAATCCATTTATGTTTAAGTCTAAAATGTTTGTAAACTTCCTCCTCAATTAAATTCCAGTAAGTTCTAAAATCCTACTTCAACTATGCACAGGACTCACTCCAAATTGAAAACAGTATAGAAATGGGATTCCTAAAAATGTGTAGGTGAACATTTCAATTGCTTTAATGACACAGCATCCATCCTACCAAGCAATTTCTATGCAGGCATAGAAGCCCCTGCACCAGGGCTGATGAAAGAAAGGAGGAGAAGGGGCGACAAGGGAAGATACAAAGCTCCCTGAAGCTCTTACTCTACACAAGGTTTATTTCTTACCTTGTTAAGAGGCAACCTCGGCAACAAATGAGTCACAGCTGAAAGGTCTATAGTTGGACACCTAACAATGAAACTACCCCATCTTGTCTGTGGTTACACAAACCAAAATAACCCCAAGATCTGAAACCAGAAACTAGAATCAGCAATAAATATTTCTCCCTCAGGGGACCATGAATTGTGTCTTCACTAGGTCAATGGAGTACAGACAAATATACACAAAGTCAGGAGGAAAGAAGAAGTTTACCTGTAGCCTAACTTTAGTCATTGATACATGTTTTCAAACTAAAAGGATCACACAATCTTAAAGGACTTATTCTAAAGGCACCTAAGTATCTGCTTGGTGCTTTGGACTTGGAGGAAGCATAGTGTTTATAGCATGGGAATGAATCTGGAATTCTGTTTTTTTCCCTTAATTATTGTTTGAGATCTTTCTATGAAAGACACTAGAGTCATACAGAGTATTATTGTTCCATATGTACCACTATGTTACAAGAATGTTAGGACTTTACAGTTAATCACTCAATAGTCAAGGAGGACAAAAGCTGAGGTTGCATATACAACTATAACTCTATCCACTCATATTTATACAATATAACACAAGCTGTAAACGCACAATCACATGGTATTTCAATCTCAACTAGAGCACCTTATACATACTATTTTTACAACCTTAAATACACATATGTAATAACATTTTGTAATTTTGTTCATTCTTTTTTTCTTACATCAATATAAAAACCCAGTAAATAAAGATAAGTGTTCTCTCTAAAGTATATATTTTAATAATTTTATAAGCAACCAAATACTTGCTATATATTTCCTTTTAGCACACAAAACTGCATTCCTTAGAGGTACACCTCTACCTCGATATAACACTGTCCTCGGGAGCCAAAAAATCTTACCGCGTTATAGGTGAAACCACGTTATATCAAACTTGCTTTGATCCGCTGGAGTGCGAAGCGCAGCCCCGCCCCTCCGGAGCGCTGCTTTACCGCGTTATATCAGAATTTGTGTTATATCGGGTAGCGTTATATTGGGGTAGAGGTGTAATTCAAGGATTAAAGTAGTTAACTAAAAAGCTAATTGTGACCCTGACAGACCAGCTCAGGCCAGAGCCATAGGCCAATTCACTTGTGCATGAATATCAAAGGAGTTAAATGGATTAGTATATATTTAGGCAGAACAGGACAGAATAACTGAACGAGAAAACTGAGATCCCCAGAATTATTCTGGGTAGCCCTGGAAAAGACTTTTGGGAAACTGGCAGTCTATTACATCACTGCCACCATTTGGAGTTACAAACTATGGTTTACCTGCTTTAAGCTCTCAATAACTCTAATTCCTTTTCTTAGCCAATAAACCTTTAGTTAGTTTACTAAAGAATTGGCTGCCAGTGTTGTCTCTGGTGTAAGATCCAGACTACCAATTGATCTGGGGGTAAGTGACTTTGGGACTAGGAGAAACCTGATGTGGTCTGATTTTTGGTTTTAATAACCTTTTATCACAAAGTTCAGTTTGTCTGCATGGCAAGATAGGCTGGAGAGGCTAAGGGAACTGACTGTGACTCCATGGTAAGACTGCTACAATGATCCAGGTGTTCACATTCTTTACGAGCCTGGTGAAATCTAATTCTAGAACATACCACCAGGGTTGGGGTGTCTGCCCTTGTTTTCTGACAGTCTGCCCTGAGATAGTCACTCACAGTGGTTAGGCACTCCAGACAGCGTGATACTAATGTTGATGCCCATGCACTTTACATTCTTCTTTAGGAGCAGGGCTCCATGTATAATGAGATTCTGAGGCTAGTTGCACCATTTACTGTTGTCACATTGCTATATAAATCCCAATTTGCATCATGTACATCCATAAAAATGCTGCTTCCTTCTGCTCTGAGTTTCTCACCCACCATTCTGCTTTCCTGCTTTCTTCCTGTGTCTTCTTCCCCACAAATGGGAGTTGATGGGTTTCTGTGGAGGAACGCAGCAGTTCTAAGCTTCTCCTCTCCTGTAGGCTTTAAGCAGCTCTACAGGAGAGACTGCGTGGCCATCTGGAGGAAGGAGGGGAACAGGGGCAGAAACTGATATTTGTGGGATCAGAGGGAGATTATTTTTAGGCTCACATTTTACTTCCCTTCAGCAAAGATTTCCCATCATACACTGGTCAATCTGACCCAAAAGGTTGAATTGAATACAATTTTCTCCTCATCAGTGGGTAGGACCGAAATCCTCTCAATAACCAAACTTCTCTAACAGATATTAAAAGGGCACATTATCCAACTCATACCTGGCCTCGTGCAGTAAGGAATGCTAAGATTCCAGTACAGCAATGGTGCTTTACAAGTACAAGGGATGCACATGATATGTGGGGCTGGAGTTCTGATTACATTTTGTTAAAGGAAAAATCACGCACTAATTAGTCTGGAAAGGACTGAGCCATGACAATATAGCAAAGAGATAATCCTGGGTATTGATTAGCACCCTGAATAACCTTCATTTTCCCATTTTTATACATGTTCCCATGTTGTGCTTTGCTACCAATGAGTACATCAGAGCTCTGCCACAGGAGTCCTTAGTAAACCCAGTTAAATTCTCCAAATTATTGCTCCTGCATACATACACGCACACCTCAGAGGAGGGAGAATCCACACAACCCCTGAAGAAATTAAAGCTCTAGCTGAGAGTTCACTGGACCTCAGATTTTGGAGCTCAGCCAGTTTTAGCAACCCATATTGCTTGGAAGTTTGATTTAAGAGCTGTCAAGGTTCTTAATGAAATTGGTTCACCTATTATCATCACAAAAAAGTTGTGGACACATTAAAAATCCACAACTCCTGTGAGAGTTGTAACATTCAGTCTTAGTATAACTGACCGTTTGAATGGTGCAATGATATGTATGTAGCCACTTGCCATTAATCACAGTAGTACCTACCACACGCCACTGCCCAATAGATTTGCGAGTCCTGAGTCTGGTGCAGGATCCGGTAAGGGGCGACTCTAGCACTGGAATCCAAAACCACATCAAGGGTTCCCACAAGCAGACCTAGGAAACAAAAGATTTGAAGATAAACAAAGTGAGCCATTGATAAGAGAGTTGGGATAAGGAGAAATGTAGCCTCAAATGGATGGTGGAAGCAATATGCATGACCCCTTGGCATTCCTAGGGGACAGGTGAGCAATGGTGTCTCAGTCTTGGAAGAGGGTGTGGTAAACATCCAGTCATAGGAGCAAACAAACTATCTGTACTGAATAGCTACAGCTCACTGTTAATAACTTCATAGTTAAGGCTGCAACCAGATGTCCATTATAAGCCACAAGGTGACACTCTCCCTTTAAACTGTCTTTGGAAGGAGATGTTCCTATGAAAGTGTTTGTAATTAACACACAGGAAAGAACTTTTCTGGAGATATTCAAGTCTAAGATAAATACTTTTCAAATGGCAAGCACTCAAACCATAAGCCCTCTTTGAAAAATATAAATAAAGATTTTAGGGATAGAGACCAGTTCCCAACACAGAGAATGCTTTTGGGTAGTTCCGGAGAGTTTTCATTGATGTACCTAAAACATTATTAAAAGAACCAAAAGTTATAGACTCTACAGATTTCATATTCTTATAAAATGAGGAGAGATTTTAAGGATGACAAAATCCAAAAATAATACAGCAGAGGATTTTTGTAGGCCACAGCTTTCAGTGCCACCTTTGCAAACAGCAGGTAAGATGATACATTCAACCAAAGTAGAACCAAATAGAGAGAAATATCTGAGCAAATACTAGCAAAAGCTGATGCTCGCAGGTCTCAGTGACATTTCTAGAAGGCAAATTTGATTTAATCATTTCTTAAATTATCAATTTAGATGGAAGTGGGGTCAGATCGCACAAGCAGAGAAGTCTTTGGTATGAACAGTATGAAACTGTACTAAAATAAGGAAAGTACTTTTGGAACTAAATATTGATAATACTAGGCATAGCAGCCAGAAAGGGGGGCGGGGGGAATGAAACCCATTTGGTTGTTTGTTAAACTGATGCTAAATCTAAATGTTAAAGGTGATCCTCTTTCTATCAGAAGATGTTACAGAATTCCCTTGCAGGTTACAGCGGGATCAGGAGCCTAACAACTTCCCTCTCTCCTATCACAAAGAAAGAATGAATCCTCAGGCTGCAAGGCAAAAGAAAACTTCCTTTTCTTGACTTAGACTCCCACCCAAAGGATGTGGAAGGACTTTGCCACAATTCAAAAAAGCTCATAAGCACATGCTTAGTTCCATCCCTATTTAGAACACTTAAGCACATGTTTAAAGTTAAGTTCTTGCTTCTGTGTTGTCCTGAATACGGATGCTTTCCTGAATTGGTGACTTTATGCTGATCAAAAGACATTTTATGGAGTTTTCACTTCCTCCTAACTTCAGAGTGAAATTTCAAGCCAAAACATTTATCTTCTGGGATATAAAAATCAGCAAATCATTTTTTAAAAAATGATTGAAGAGGATAAAGTGAAACTCTCCGAGAACTTTGATACTGATTCAAAAGATTGGATAATGGTTAAATTTTATCTCCCACAATGCTACTAAATATCACTAAACTGGTTTATCACTTATTCTATTACATATAACCAGTACAAGAGGCTTCAGTGTTTATATTTTTATACTATTCATTTTTGATAGCTGTCAGTCTCCCAAGCAGTATATACTACAAGAGTACTGAAAGAAATGTTAAAAAGAAACCCCAAAACTAGAGACAAGGATCATTTAAACACAAATTCTAAATTAGCACCTGCAAGCTCTATATTTGGAAACACAGTTAATGGAAATTGTTTTGGGCAATTTTTTAATCTGCTGATCACTAGATACAAATTTGTAGCGCTAACGAGGCCAATGCAATCAAGGTGGACATCACCCATTTCCAACAGTTGACAAGAAGGTGTGAATATCAGAGGAAAAATTACTTTTTGTAGTGACCCATCTACTCACAGTCTTTATTCAGGCCTAATTTGATGGTGTCCAGTTTGCAAATTAATTCCAGTTCTGCAGTTTCTCATTGGAGTCTGTTTTTGAAGTATTTTTGTTGAAGAATTGCCACTTTTAAGTCTGTTACTGAGTGTCCAGGGAGACTGAAGTGCTCTCCTACTGGTTTTGGAATGTTACAATTCTTGATGTCTGATTTGTGTCCATTTATTCTTTTGCGTAGAGACTGTCCGGTTTGGCCAATGTACATGGCAGTGCATGTACTGGGAGTGGATGGATCACTACAAAAAGTAATTTTCCCTCTGCTGATACTCATACCTTCTTGTCAACTGTTGGAAATGGGCGATGTCCACCTTGATTGCATTGACCTCGTTAGCACTACAAAAGTAATCAACTGTTGAGAATAGGCCACTTCCACCTCAACTGAATTGACCTTGTTAGCACTGACCCCCCACTTGGTAAGGCAACTCCCATCTTTTCATATATATACTGCTTCCTGTATTTTTCACCCTGTGCATCTGTTGAAGTGGGTTTTAGGCCACGAAAGCTTATGCCCAAATAAATCTGTTAGTATCTAAGGTGCCACAAGGACTTCTCGTTGTTTAATCTCGTGTCTCAGTTCCCCATCTGTAAAATGTAGATAACAATACTTCCGTTCTCCTACCCTTTGTCTGTCTTGTCTACTGAGGCCCTGATCCTGCAAGTGACAGGAAAGAGTAGACCGTTAGGTTCACACATGCTATCAACTGCAAGATTAGAGCCTTATCCTATAAGCTTTTTGGGGCAAGGACAGTTTCTTACAGTGCATACATACAATACCTAGCACAATGGGTGCCTGATTTTGGTGTAGATGTTTTGCACACATTTGTACAAATTGGTTAACAGAATATTAGTTTTTAAAATAAAAACTACTTTCTCTAAATACTTGCCATGATTGAGTGCCAAGTGTGTATGATTTACACATGGCATATTGGACTGAAAACATTAAATGCTATTGTGCTCAAACTTTTAAGGGCACAAGTACTTAACTGACTCAGTCATAACCCTATGTTCTTCTACTCCCCCAAAACATTAAGACGCACTGAACAAGGACAGTGCCTATCTGTAGCTTCTAGAGGTCTAGGACTTCAAAGACAGCCACTATCCTTTTTAGATGTTAAAAAAAAGTTTGCACTGGAACCAAATTGGCTTGTAGGTTCAGTCACTTAATTGCTCTAGTTTAAATGTTAAAATTTTCAGGAGATCCACAGCACCAGAGAATCATCTCTTCTTATAGCTTCTTTTTGAAAACAGGAAATTCCAGCATGAAAAAAATTATAATTAAGATTATTCAAATAACTGATATACACTACATGAACAGAATAAAAAACCCTTGCCTTTAAAAATTGTGGAAAAATGCACAACTACAGCAATTTATGTAAATATTACATCATCTTATATTGAGTACATTTGATTAACAAGTGTTGACATGTGAAAACTGACTATACATTTCACAAACTAGCTTAAATGTGACCTATACATTTTGCAATATTTACATAACTAATTATGCATTTCCCATAATGAAAGTTGTATGTATTCTATTAAGAGATGTTTTGAAAGTGTTTGCAAACATTGGTTTTTGATCACAGTTAAACCCTTTATGATCACTTCCCTCACTACACTTTATACCCAAATCTGGCACACAAATAAAATGAATAATTCTCACTGACCAGCAAACAACTTCAATTTTGCCACTGTAAGAAAATATTCATAACTATAAAGTCTAAACCAACTGCATCCATCACAAAACACTCTCTCATACGTGCACATTAAAACTATAATACCTTTCTCATACTCATATAAAGGTTGCCAATCATACAAATCCACAAAAAGGAAGATACACCTCTACCCCGATATAAAGCTGTCCTCGGGAGCCAAAAAATCTTATAGTTGAAACCGCGTTATATCTAACTTGCTTTGATCCGCCGGAGTGCGCAGCCCCGCCCCCCGGAGCGCTGCTTTACTGCGTTATATCCGAATCCGTGTTATATAGGGGTAGAGGTGTACTTTAGCAAGTCAAGACTATATGAATATCATACAAACAACTATCTTTTCCCATGCAGAAAAAAATAATTCCATCTACTTCTATTATTGTTATTTATATTGTGGTAGCTTCTAGAAGCCCCAGTCATGACCCCATTGCAGTAAGGCCATGTACAAACAGAACAAAAGGATGGTCCCTGCCCCAGAAAGCTTCTAATCTAAGTATAAGAGACAATGCACGGATACAGACAGAGCAGCACAAGGAAACAATGAGACAATATTGGTCAGCATGGCTGGCAGTGGTCACAGCAAACCAGTGGCCTAACCTTTATCATGATTTTTGTAGGTGTTACTGCAAAGGAGAGTTTTAAGGAGGAAGGAGGGCAATAAAATGGCTTTGAAGATCTTTACAGGGATCTTCTCCCAAGCGTTATCGCCATCACAACATATAGCAGTGACACATGGCAACTTATCAAAAAGATATGCAAAAGTTGGATGCATTTAATCACAAATGTCTTAGAAGGATATTGGGAATAACATATAGAGATAGGAAGACGAATGAAGAAGTCAGAAAAATTACTGGACAAGGTACCCTCTCTCATAAATAATCTACAAAAGAAGACATCAGTGGCTGGGACATGTGCTGAGAATGGAAAAAGAACCCTTACCAAATGGAATGGAAGCCAGAAAACGCAAGAAGAAAGAGAGGAAGATGGCGAATAACATGGAAACGAACAGTTCTGAACGACATCAAGCACCTGAACATGAAATGGGAAAATGTAGAGAGAAGGGCAGTTGACAGGCCAGGATGGCAAATGTGGGTAGCCCAATGTGCAGCAAAGCAGGGGCTGGACTAAGGTCAGGTCTCCCAAGCCTGAGGCAGGGCAGCAAAAGAGAACGCAGAAAGGTGCCTGTTTAGAAATGTAACAAGCCTACGATCCATGCACCTTGGCCTACCTGCCCTACCTAACTGGGGATGGGGAACAGCCCCTACCTGCACACTGGGGATCACTGCTGAGCGCAGGTCATGTCACTATTTGCACGTCAGCCTTGAAGCGCACCAAACACACGCACCTTGCACGCGAGTAGGGTGACCAGACAGCAAGTGTGAAAAATCGGGACAGGGGGTGGGGGGTAATAGGAGCCTATATAAGAAAAAGACCCAAAGATCTGGACTGTCCCTATAAAATCGAGACATCTGGTCACCCTACACGCGAGGGGAGCCAGACCTGGGATCTCTCCCCATGGGGACCCTGCAGGGCGGCCCCGATAACCCTCGCCCTGCCTAGGATCCTTATGGGCAGGAAAGGGGCGGAGACGGGATCCCTGCCCCAGGCCTGGCGCCCCTCACCCCGTCTGGGGGCGCCCTGGGTTCCCCTCGCCTGTCAGGCCAGCCGCAGGCCCGGCTCCCGCCCCACCCCCTCAGCTGCAAGCAACCGTAGGAGCACCCCGGCCCCGGGTCCCGCCCGGCCCCTCACCCGTCAGGCCGCCGCCCTTGCCGTGGCCCCGCCGCCGCTGCAGCAGGAAGAAGGGGTTGGCCCGCTCGGTGACCCAGAGCGCGTTGGCCAGCAGCACCTCCTCGGGGCCCAGCCACATGGTGCCGGCTCCGCTCCGCGCTGGGCCAGGCCGCCGGCTTCGGGCAGGGGGAGCGGGCTGGGCCGGGCCGCGCACTGGCGAGTCACGGGGGCCGCGCGCGGGGCCCGAGCTGAGGAGACGGCCCGAGCCGACTCAGCTCAGCCCGGGTAACCGAGGGGGCGGCGCCCTCTGGCGGCCCGGCCGGCTCACGGCAGCGGCCGCCACCACGTCTCCGCCGGGGGCGGGAAGGGAGTTACCCCCCTCAGAGCCGCCTCCATCCCCGAGCCCTGGGGAACAGCTCCTCTGCCCCGTGCCGCAGAGACCCCCCCTCCCCCCCGGGGACCGGACCCCCCCCGTGCCGCAGAAACCCCCCACCCCATTGCCACAGAGACCCTCCTGCGGGGAACAGCCCTTCTGCCCTGTGACACAGACACCATCCTCCCACCCCTTGAGGGGGAATGGCCCCTGTCCCTAATGCCAAGACAGAGATCACCCCCAAGGGAATAGCCCCCAAAGTGCCACACAGAGATTATCCCCTCCTGCCTCCATCCCCTTATAGGGGAATAGCCCTTCCCCCAGTGCCACAACAGAGGTCACCTATGGTTGTGTCAGCTCCACCGCACCCCAGAGAATAGGGAGTCCCCCCCCAGCCTCCAGCTCCTAAGCCCCCTCCTTCCTCCCCTGCTTAATGTTGTCTAAGCACTCAACTATTATGATTTAGCCTCCCCCCCGCCCCAAAAAAAAGAATCATGAAGGTTGTTCATAAAATAATCAGGGTCCTTTATACAGTCTTTGCATTCTGGTGCCTGAACCTGTAGGGTGCACTCAGGATATGTTTTCAGGCTTTTCTCCCTACCCATGAGAGTTAAAAACTTACTTTCTGTGAAACAAAAGCTGAGATTCCCATTGCAATCACAACTCCTGGAGCTGGGGCTTCAAGCAAAACACCAAATATTGTGACTCCTGACAACATCATGGGAGTTGGCACCACTGGAATAGGACATACCCTCCTTCCCAGTGCTCCCTCCACTCCCCCTGCCAGAGAGCAGGGAGAGCCTTTCCCTCCTCCTGGGGAAACGGGAGTATGCTCTGCACCAAATATAACCCTACTCCCAGGGAGTGACCCTCTGGGAATGGGGGTAATGCTCCCTACCACAGACAAGGAGCATCACTTTTGTGCCACCTGCAGCCTCTGGGCAACAAGAAGCAGCTCCTATGTCCCAGACCTCTTTAGTAAAGGAACCCCTGAGAACGTAGCTTGGAAGGGAACCCTCTGCATTCCACCTACCCCTACAAAGGGATTAGGGAGGGCTCCTCCTCATGCTGCCTTCACCCAGATGGGCCACAAAAAGTGTGCTTCCCCCCAAAACAAACAAGTGTCATCTTCCTGTGGGGACAGGTTGTGGTGTTCCTTCCAGCATTTGCCAGATGATGGGGAGTATGCATCTTCCCCCATATCATCCATGCCCAGGCCCTTAGGAACATGAAACAGTATTTGCCCAAACATCTCCTGTGCCCCTGAGGAAACAGGAAGCAGCTCTCCCCTGTCCCCCCTAGGGAGGTTGTGGAATCTCCATCATGGGAGATTTGTAAGAGCAGGTTAGACAAACACCTGTCAGGCATGGTCTAGATAATACTTAGTCCTGCCACAAGTGCACGGGACTGGACTAGATAACCTCTCAAGGTCCCTTCCAGTGCTATGATTCTATTTTGGACTTCTGTTCTCAGGCTAATGGCTCATGAGGGTAGTCTGAGGACCATGCATAGAGAGGCATCTTTGAGAGGCACAAAGATGGTGATAACTCCTTATGTGCGTTTGAAGGAAGGGGTCAAAGAGGAGATGGCCAAACAGGTTGTGTGGGATAGGAGGGAGCAGCCCAAAACTGGTTTGAGATGATTTAACTGAGTGCCTGGAAGGAGGCCCAGGATTGATAAAGCACAGTTACCATGGACTAGAGGGACAACTTGGTGGGGCAGTGTGGAGACCAAAAGGCTGACATCTTCTGCTGAGGGAGAGACAAGAGGGATGGAGACAAGGTTTTTCATCACTCAGTGTCCCTGGTTCCTGGCCTCCTTCCCCTCACATCTACCATCTAGAGCAAGGATTGTCTCCTATTATAGCTCCCTCATACAGTAGCTGGAAGAACAGGGATAGGACCAATAAGCCCTTCAGCCCAGAGGAACAGGAATCATTGCCCTAATTTTTCTCTCCAGTCATCATGTCTCCCCTGGAGGAACCAGGATCAGCCTCTTTGCTCTGCTGATCCCCAAAGCTATCAGCTACAGCCCTCAAGGAAGGAGCCAACAGCAGCTTCATAGCTAGAGTGAGGTTATTTTATATTCATATTTTGGCAAGTTAATTCTGAAAACATGGGTGCCCTTCCCCCCCTCAGTCTTGTTCCTTTCATTTATGGAGTCAGCCTACACAATGTGGTTGCAGCAAGTTACTTTACAAAAGGCATTTGCTGAGCTCGTGCCGATTTCCTCTTTTGAACTTGAATGTCCTTTCCAGCAGAACTATAATTTGCCAGAGTACTGCACTTCTATAGTAAAATTTCAGGCAGCCCCCTTGGGGTCCACTGAAGCTGACATTAACTACCACTGGTTTAAATGCTCTTTTCCGCTGTCCGCACTGCTACTTAATGGCAGGGAACGTCAAAAGCAGTGTTGCAAGTGGCAAAGGCCGCCTTGTCAAACTCTCACTCCCAGCATTTATTCTGGTGCCTTCTCTTGTTTTCACAGAGCAGCTTCAGTCCCTAGTAAACAGGAGCATGTTCAATTTCTTCTTGGCTGTGTGGAATGGGCTCAGAGCCACTGCAAAACCTGGACTCTAGGGCAGCCAGCTTTCCCACTGCAATATGTAACCCAGAAACTCAGTGTTCACATGGTGTGGGCCTTTCTTAGAATTTATTATACGGGTCTAGATTATTCCTGTATCAGCCTTTATCTGCCCCGCTGAGCATTTAGGAAGATATTTTATACTTCTATCTGAAAAGTGCACATACCACCTCCACTCTAGTACCGCCCTTTAACTTTGAAACGCCAGCCTTTTTAGAACTGTTACACACCTGGTCAGGCCTGTGGAGCTTTCATCCTAACTCCAAAAATGTTCATGTGTTAAGGCATTTCTGGCAACAACATTGTGAAGGACAATCTTTGTTTCAAAGCAGGAAAGGTGATTTGTAGGATATGCTGATATTTCCCCTCTGTTATCTGCAGAGAACTTTCATGCTCAGTTGAGTTTCCCTTCATATTTTTATAACCGTTACTTGAGAGAATTTCTTCAGATTCCAAAAGTGGCTTGAAGGAAAAACATTGGCAATCACTTTCTCACATTCTCACTAGCAAAACTCACAGGAAGAAGGCAGTGGCATACCTTCTTTAGGCAGTGGCATGTCTTCAAGGCAGGGATCATTTATTTTCTGTGTTCATATAGCTACCCATGACAAAAAAATATTTATTAATATTAGAAACAAGCTAGCCTAAACCTAGATCCTAGTATTGCACTGGAACAGAATGAAGAGGATTCTGGATGTTGGCATGTGCATGAGTACATTAAGTAATCTGTTTTGCCTCAATCCCTGTATTTTTGGGTGAAAGGTGCCAAATCGATGGAGCTGGAAACCAAATTCCTCTATTCACAGCACCAGTACTGCATGCACAAGATCAGTGCAGGCTTCTCCCGCCCTGCCCCACCAAACTGCTTCAACCCTGACCTAGAAGGATAAACTCTTGGGTTAATACCGATGCAGCTCCACCAGCGCAAGCAACGGTGGGATGGGTAGTCTTGCAGCCAGCATTTAACCACCACGTCCTCTAACCCTGCTTACTGATAACACTTCTAACCACCTGCTCTGGCACCTTGTCTACACTAGTGCTCTCACTGCTGCTGTTACTAACAGAGCTGTACCTGTGATAGCAATGGAGGGAAATTTCTGGCCAAAAAAGCAGATAAAGTCTTGGTGTGAATGGAGGGTTCATTCTCTCATTTAGTCCTTAGCCTCTACCAAAAATGTCAGCAATTCGTGACAAATGAAATGGCTTTGTGAAGTGGCTAGGGATTAGCAGCCTGTTTCACAGTCAACCCCATAGAGATTTTTGTATTGGAGCAGGATTTACAGAAGCCATGAAAGGATTAAAAGAAAATACAAGCTAACAGGCAGTTCAGGAGAGCCCTTCTAAAGGAAACATTCTGTTGACATTTAAACAAAAACAAGATTTAAGGTCCCAAACACCTAGCAGAACATGTGTAGATTTTGCAAGTTGGGGCCACTCGGTGCTTCATAGGAGAAGTTTAGTGCCTTGCCCCATTGCCCAGAGAGATTGAGATTTCACCGGCCCTTAAAGCAGGTGATTTTGGTTAGGCCATGTTTCACTGCTATTAAACTGTTCTGATACTAAAAGATTATATATTTAGGTATATGGATATATTAAATATATTTTAAAAACCCACTTTGCCTGTAAGTCTTAGGAAAATTTGGACTATAAGGTCTTGATCCAAAGCCCATGCAAGTCAATGGGAGTCTTTCCATTGTCTTGTGTTGGCTTTGGATCAGAACTGCCAAAAATGTGGTCAAACACGAGACTGTAAAGGTTTGATTTACTTTTAAAGTTGCTCGAAGTAACCTCCTCCCCCCCCCCCCAAAAGGAAAAAGGACCTCCATTTATAATGAATGTTTGCTTTTCTTGGAACATTGCATTGTAATCCAGTTTTCATGCTGGAGAGCCAATGGTAATGGTTAATGACAGCTGTATTCACTGGCAGAATATATATAAGCAGGATTTACAGAAGCCCTAATTGATCTAGAACCAGTAGTGCCAATTTCATACTCTGCCATTTAGCTACAGAGAACAGTCAGAAAGATGACAGTTCAAGCTGCTATGCAGTGGAGACTGCTAGTTTTAGGAGCTCTGGCACCTGAGAGTGCAGGAAGCACCATCAGCAAGAGTTATGTTCCTTTTAAAAATGGGGAAACACACAAATGACTATGCTGATTCAACTGGACTGTTAAACCCCCAACATGCAACTGAGAGGTTTTGAAAGCAAGAACTAATTCCCCTTCCCTCCTTGTTACAGGTACCCCTTGATCCGTATCTCAATC